TTAATATGGGTTTCCTCTCTTCTTTTTTTAATTAATCTTGCCAACGGGCCATCAATTTTGTTTATTTTTTCAAAGAACCAGCTTTTTGTTTGGCTTATTTTGGTTATAGTTTTCTGATTTCCTAATTGGTTAATCTCTGCTCTTAATTTGGTTATCTGGCTTCATCTATTAACTTTAGGTTCCATTTTTTCTTGTTTTTCTAGCTGTTTTAATTGCAACATGAGATTATTTACTTGGTCTGTCTCCATTCTCTTGATGTGGGCATTGAGGGCAATAAATTTGCCCCTCAGGACTACTTTTGCTGTGTCCCACAGGTTTCTTTGTGAGGTGTTTTCATTTTCTTTGAGTTGTAGGAAATGCTTTATTTCTTCTCTGATCTCTCCCAGGTATTGCTAAGGAGTGGGCTGTTCAATTTCCATGTATTAGAGAAATTTCTGCGGTATGCTTTGTTGTTGAGAGCTAGCTTGATTCCATTGTGGTCAGATAGGATACAGGGGATTATGTCAATCCCTTTGTATTTGCTGAAGTTCCTTGCATGAATTATGATATGGCCTATTTTGGAGAAAGTTCCATGAGCTGCTGAGAAGAATGTGTACTGTGTTGTTTTAGGGTGAAATGCTTGGTAGATGTCAGTTAATTCTGCTTGAAGTATGGCCTCACTTAATTCGGTAACTTCTTTGCCAATCCTCTGGTTGGTAAACCTGTCCTTTGTTGAGAGTGGTGTGTTAAAGTCTCCTAGTATTATCCTATTGGGATCTATTTTATTCTGTAAGTTTGAGAGTGTTTGTTTAACATATCTGGGTGCACCAATATTTGGGGCATATAAGTTGATGATGGTAATATCCTCTTCTTGGTTTGTTCACTGTATTAATATGTAGTGTCCATCCTTGTCTTTCTGTACTGGTTTTAATTAAAAGTTTATTTTGTCAGATATCAGGATAGTTACACCTGCTTTCTTACTGGGGGCGTTTGATTGGTAGATCCTTTTCTAACCCTTCACTCTGAGTTTGTTTGTATGTTTGGCTGAAAGGTGGGTCTCTTGAAGGAAACAGATGGATAGGTCTTGTTTTCTGATCCAGTCCTCAGTTCGTTTTCTTTTAATTGGCAAATTCAACCCATTTATATTAAGAGAAAGTATAGAGAGATGCATTGTTGTCCCTGCCATTCCATTTTCCTAAGTTTTTCTTCTTTCCTTTCCTCCTGTGCTTGCTCAGTTAGACTTTGAATAATGCCTGTCTGGGGCAGGTCCCAGTTCCTGGTTGCTTTCTTCAGGTTGTGTACCCCCTCTTAGAATTCTTTGTAATGCTGGCTTAATGTTTATGTATTCATTTAGTTTTTCTTTGCTATTAAAAGTTTTCAGTTCTCCATCGAACGTGAATGCTAGCTTTGCCGGGTATATCAGTCTGGGTTGGCAGTTATTGGCTTTCAGGGCTCTTTGGTGCTTTCCCAGGCTTTTCTTGCATTCATTGTTTGTGTGGAGAGATTTGAAGTGATTCTAATTTTTTTCCCATTGTAGTATAGCTCCTTCTTCATTTTTGCTGCATGCAGGATTGTTTCCTTATTATATCATTTTTACTATAATGTGTCTAGAAGTGTTTCTCCTGGGATCTTGCTTGTTGGGTGTTCTATATGCTTCTGTTATGTAGGTAAGGTCTCTTTCTGAGGTGGGGAAAATTTTCACTGATTATCTTGTTGAATAGGTGTTGCATTCCCTTGCTCTGGAATTCCTCACCTTCTTCCACTCCAATTATAGGAAGGTTAAATTTCTTGGCATTATCTGCTTGCTCTTGAATTTCACTTTGGTTTAATTTGAGTGATTTTTCCATATCTGTCACTTTTTGGTCCAGTTGGTGTATTCTGTCTTCTGTATCTGACACTCTACCTTCCATTTCATTCACTCTGTTGACCGTGGCTTCTATTGTGGTTTGCATGGAAGAAGTGGAT